CCGTATTCTACTTGGTTATAGTAGCCAAAACTACTTAGTGACTTCGATCAAATATATCCCTTTCCGGGACATATCAATATATATTTATAAGTGAATATTGAAGTTAACACTCAAAGGCGACTGACTGATTCAAAATAGACGCAATCATCAGGCCACATCTGCGTCTAGTATGAAACAGTCTTTTTCCTCTGAATGTTAATTTCACTGTTCACCTTTATATATATATATATATATATATATATATATATATATATATATATATAAAAAGCATACGTTGTTGAAACTTGACTAATGCATGGAATAATAATACAACACAAAATGTACTTAGAACAAAATGTATTGAAACAAGAAAGTGTACACAATATTTACATATAGTCTTTTGTATATTCCTGGGAAGACCGTCCCTGGAGAATGTGTTGACTTAGTCGCAGTCGGGCAGAGTCTCTGGATTGAATCTCTTGATTCCTCTCCCCGTCTTCCCGGTACCAACCATATTTATATGGTCGGTACTCCACTATGCAAATTAGGTGGATCCTACCACAACATACGTATACGCACAAATACTTGCACTTACATATACATAGTTTTCTCAACTGTTATAAAAGTAATACTCACTGTTTTATAACAGACCTATTAAGTATATATTAGTGAATATACCTAATATGTCACGACTTGGTGTTTCATGCTACACGCAATCTTCAGGTGCTGAATTCCCATTGACCATTAAGCGTTATGAAATACGCGTTCTCGTGCAGTTAATTAACTATTTTGTGTTAAATCTTGTTCATCTTATTATTGTTGTCTATAATATTTAAATTAATTATTTATAATTTATATGGATCAAAGTTTTAATCATGGGGGATTATTCACGTTGCATAAAACCCGTCGTTAGTGATAATAGAAATAATTGGATCTTATTAAAATACATTATTAAAATAATGACTTGTGGAATAAAACTCAGTTCTCACGATATTAACTTAATTACATGTTAAGACGATATATATATATAATGAGTTTTAAACCTACTATTATGCTTAGAAAATTAAAATTATATAGGCACGAGTAATAAAATAATAGAGTCTGATCTATAATATAAAATTTTATATGAGAAAATAGATTTGCAAAAAAACCCTAAATTAATTGACAAAAATAATTTAAGAGTCCTCTGCATTTTTTTTTTTTAATTTACTATTGTTTAGAGTCAATTGAAGATGGTCGCAACGCAATTTCAAGTTGTTCTCTGTGGAACCAAAGTAGTATTTAACATCGCCGTTTGAATTCATCCTAGCCATGTAAATTGTGTTCGGTCATGCACTGGCCATTTAGTGAGCAAGCTTTTTAGTAGAATTCTTATTTAATATTTTGTTCGTGTGCTTACTTAATATATTATTGTTATGTTACGATACATAATTATCAATGTTTTGAGTACAGCTATAGCTCACCTTAGTATTATTTTTCTTTTAATCTTTTTTTGTACGAACTCCACTTCAGGTCTGGTTTCAGTTTAAGGCGCTTAATACACAGGCCGATTCTGAAGGAAAATCCGTTCATCGTGATTGGTGATAGGATATATATATATATATATATATATATATATATATATATCTATGTCTGTGTGTTAAAGTGGGTATGGAATTCAATATCCAGAGGCGACAGTCTGTTTTTTCATGCTAAACGCAATCATCATGGACTGACGATTGCGACACAGACTTGATTGTCGACTTTTAATTTAACATAAGCTCTATCTTTGATATTAGGTACTTTAACCCATAAATGTAGCATAACTGAAAACTATATTTCATATATATGGACACACACACACATATATATATATATATAGACCACTTTAAGGTTCCATGTTACATGTACATGGAACCTTAAAATGGTCTGTTTTTATTCAAACATATTTGCTCTGAATTTACATTGAGCTCTCCGGATATCATCCTCTTTGGGTCTACTCATACGGATTACCTAGTTTTACATAAACTATATATATATATATATATATATAAAATCGAGTCTGGGAGAAAACTCAACTGGACGGACGTTAAGTCCTATCTTTGGGACTCATCAGAAGTGTGCATCCGTTACCGAAAATTGAAACCCGGACCATTACGATACGAGGCAAACGACATGCCAACTGTACCAACTGGCCTCGGTGCTTTCTGCATTCTGTTGAGGTTTTTTCTACATTCGATGAATTTCTTAATTATGTTTATCTCAACTCCTCCTAATAATTTCCATCACTTGTATATCATTGTTTGAACCGGCTTCTAATGCTACATTTGGAACGGCTTGAGAATAGTAGTCGTGGTTCGTAGGGTCACAGTCCTATGTGTAAGGGAAACTCGGTTCCACCACGGAATATTTCATCGAACGGCGCTATATCGATTATAATTCGTTACATCTTCCTCTCTGATGCCCGTTTGTACAGCTGGTATGACGTTTGCCGCGTATCGTAACAGTCCGCGTTTTAATTCTCGGGAGTGGATGCGCACTCCTGATAAATCCCAAATATAGGACGAAACGGCCGTTCATTGCTCTCTGCATTCTGTTAAGTTTTCTTCTAGTCTCGTTGAATTACTTAATTATGATTATCTATCTATTTCTATATATATATATATATATATATATATATATATATATATATATATATATATATATATATATATATATATATATATATATATATATATATATATATATAGTAGGTAGGTAGGTGGAGTAATGAATAGGCTTGCATTGAAGAATCGCAAAGCCGTGTTCGAATTACAGTCGAATCCATTACATTCACTTACGTGCTAATACCCTTGGGAAAGGTATGAATCCTCTCCCTCTAGCTATGGGTAAAATAGCAGGGCAGACTGGGTTGGCAACTGGTCTAGGAGGGTCGTTTGGGAACCTTTTGGCACTCGGTGCACCAGGTCTCTGTATTCGTCCCTTCAACATGTGTGGATGGTCCTGCACGAAGCCTTCACCACTATAATCAAATCTCATGTGCCGGTGTCGGGCTGTCGGTTTCCTGGAAACTGATCTGCTTCACCCTCATACGTCGAATCTGTACGGGAGAGTCGACTATGTATTATATATCATCAGTATTTTGAAAAATAGTATGACAAATTTGAATATATTTTTTATGACGCGTTTCGTCCATTAGGATTTCATCACACTGGGCATTGTTTATGTTACCACCATTTATACATGCGCACGAACGAGTGTGTATATAGCCAACAATCCTCTCCGTTTGTGAAAAAAAACACTGACAAGATTCGGCGGTTAAGATTTTTATTCCATTTTTCTTGTGTTCTTGTAATTTTTCTTCTTTTCTGGACATAAATTATGTAGAAATTGTCAGAATGTTCTGTATGTCCGAGCACTTTTGGCTATTCTTTTAGCCATTTTCAAGGATAATTTTACTTTTAACTGGATGTATTCTTTTATATATGTATCTAGTTATAAGAATCCACATGTAAAAAAGGGCTAAAATAATGAAAACATTACTAATAAAAACAAGAAAAAGCCAACATTCAATGACATCAACTATGAACACTGTCAGAATGTGATGGCCGTTTTTGCGAAATAAAAAAAAATTCTAATTGCAAATTGGTCTCGTTTTTTTCGGTTGAAATAGCTAGATGTAACCCTATGTTTTATTCTAATAGCGTATGCTTTCGTACTTCTCACCTGTGGAACTCTCTTCATCTTCCTTGCTTCTCATGAATTTTTTTTTCTTAATCTTACTTTTTATTGTCCCTTTTTCCTCACTAGCGTCTACTTGTTTTCTTTCTCTCTCAGTAACCCATTACGCTTTAGTGGGATTATCACCTTGTTTAATGTCAAGCGATTAACACACACCAACACACACAAAGTGAAACGCACATTGTCAGCATGGTAAGCGATAATTTCGCCAGAAACGGAATTAATTCATTGTGACGGCATATGTAAAGGTTAAACGGAAAAGTGTGCAGCAAATATTTATACCTTTATTTTTTATGCATGCTAGAAATATACACATATTAATATATGTATATCTATATGTGTCTCTTTGTATCTATATAAAACAATATAATATCAACCAGTTATTCGACAACATTTATATTTATATTAATCCTATAAAGCAATTTCCAAAGTATTAACGGATTTACATTTAAACCGACATTTTTATTACATCAAACGTTATTTAAGTAGCCGTCCATTTGTAGACTTGCGACTTAAACCAGATACCAGCTTCATTCGTTGTGTGCAGTTTCTTTTAGTCTAACTCTTGTGGCATAATATAAGTAAAATAATTATTTGATCGGATCGTTACCAAAGAAAATATAACCATTAGACGAAATTCTAGCAGTCGGCAAATGTACTCAATTGCAATCTTCTCACAAGGGTTGGCTGTCAACGAACAAGAAAAAGCGTGGCGAGGTGAGTCGGGGAGCGAATTGTCTTCGCAGTGTGTGCCTTCCTTTCGTGTGGCATTCTCTAGTTCTTTCTATTTTAAGGAATACATATTCTCTGGTTCTCTTTATTTTAAGGAATAAATATTCTCTCGTTCTGTTTGTTTTATGGAATACATATTCTCTGGTTCCGTCTGTTTTAAGTGATACATATTCAATCGTTCTCTCTATTCTAAGAAATACATATTTTCTCGTTCTGTTTATTTCAAGGAATAAATATTCTCTGGTTCTCTCTATTTTAAGTAATACATATTTTCTTGTTCTGTCTATTTTAAGGAATACATATTCCATCATTCTCATTCTGCTTGTTTTATGGAATACATATTCTCTGGTTTTGTCTATTTCAAGGAATACACATTCTCTGGTTCTTTCTATTTTAAGGAATACATATTCTCTGTTTGTCTCTATTTTAAGGAATACATATTCTATAGTTCTGTTTGTTTAATGGATTATGTATTCTCTTGTTCTGTCTATTTTAAGGAATACATATTCTCTCGTTCTGGTAGTTTTATGGAATACATATTCCGAGGTTCTGTCTATTTTAAGGAATACATGTTCTCTCGTTCAGTCTCTTTCAGCGAATACATATTATCTGTTTCTATCTATTTTAAGGGATACATATTCTCTGCTTCTCTTTATTTTAAGGAATACATTTCCCCCGTTCTCTCTATTCTAAGAAATACATTTTTTTTAGTAGTTTATTTCAAGGAATATATATTCTCTTGTTCTGTCTATTTTAAGGAATACGTATTCTCTCGTCCTGCCTCTTTTAGAAAATACATATTCGCAGTTTCTCTCTATTTTAAGGAATACATATTCTCTTGTTCTGTCTATTTTAAGGAATACATATTCTCTTGTTCTGTCTCTTTTAGAGAATACATATTATCTGGTTCTCTATATTTTTAGGAATACATATTCTCTGGTTCACTCGAAAGCCCATATCTGCTCGATTTCGTATCTGAAACGTAAACAAATCAATATTTAATGAATGTATGGACTTAGCACTTAAAAAAAAAACTACTGGAATATTTACTTATGCAATAAAAATTATATGAAGATAACAATATCTGTGCACTGTAAACAAAATAGAGTGTGTAGTGATTTCTACTAAGAGAAATTATATTAGGTTTTTACATATATTGATTAGTTTTCTCTGATGTTCTGTGAATGATCTGGAGGACTTTTTTTTATTCTTTGTAAATCTGGTTATATCTGTCCTCTAGTCTAACCGCCGATTCTAGACAATCTCCTCAAAGATGAAGAAGAGATCTGAAGCAAAAGAAAAGTCGCTGTATAGAATGATGCTGAGAATACAATGCAAAAAACATGTAAGCAACGGCTAGGTTTTGTAGGAAATTGAAATAAAAAGCAAACTTATACGCAACATCAAAAAGAGGAGACAGTGAGAATTTCTGGGGCATGTAATGAGGACCGTATGATACTCAGAGAAGAGATTGACGCAAAAGACGGAATAAAACAGCACGTAACTTACTTGGTCAGCTTGAACATGGTGGAAAAGGTCTTGGGAGAAATATCAAAATGAAAAAAAACTTATTAACTGCTATAAAAGACAAGAAGATGTGGAGGGCTATGGGCATCTACACTCTGAAGTGACACGGCACATAAAAGAAGAAAAGCTCTGTTCATATTTTGAGACAGTTGTGTAACGTTATCTTTGAGATGGAATGCCAAGCAGACAAGAAGGACAATGTTCGACATCTTTTTTTTGCTTTAAATCTTGGTAACAAACTGCTAAAGTTGCTCGAGAGATATGTTCATTGTAGAAAAAATGGCACAGAAATGGTTTTCCCGTTTCAAGGAAGGGAAGTTCAAACTCACAGATTCTCCGCTTTCTGTACGACAAGTTCAGTTTGATGACAACCAATCGCAAGGAATAATTAAAGAAGGCCACTAAGGAATTTGACGAATGACAGTAACATGAGAGCTTACTCTCTTCTCAATGGGTTGCCATAACCCTGTTGGTAAGGTCAAGAAGAACAAAATAGTCAATCCTAAACTGTATGTTGAACAAATGTACAGGTTCAAAGAGGCAATTCAGAAAAAAAAAAATCCAGGCGATACAATTTCATTATTCTGACGATACAATTTCATTATTCAACATAACAATGCTCATACCTCCCCACACTTAGCTAATATGACCAGATATGCAATTGAAAAGCTCAGTTCGGAGGTTCTGCCACAAAAATTTTATTCCCCTGATTAGATCCTTTAGACTACAACATTTTTCAGTGTTTTTCTAAATATTTGAGGGGTGTGACGTTCAACAATGATGTGGAGCTCAAAATCTGGTTTGATGGATTTTTATCGTCGAGCCATTGAACAGTTAGTGGATCGTTGGCAAGAAGCCGTAAACAATAAAGGAGAATACATTGTTGAATGATTCATCAGAAACTATCAATAAATAATAAGAATTAAAATAAATGATAATGAACTAATTTATGTAAAAAGCTAATAGAAACTGACTCAGCCTGACGGCATATGTGGGTCGTAGTAGGTATTGATCAAACGGGTTACATTTATAGAAAAGGTCCAGGTAAATTGTTTAACATAGATATACCTATAGAAAAAAATCTATCACTTAATGAACATCATGTAACATCGCGTAGCCGCCCTTATTCAAGACGGCGTAAACGTTATTAGATAGTTGCCACTTCTATCTATCTATCTATCTATCTATTGTTTTATGTTCATTTTCTATCTGTTATAGTTTGATCATTTTCTTTCTATCTATATATCTATCTATTGTAGTCAGATCATTTTTTATCTATCTATCTATCTATCTATCTATCTATCTATATATATATATATATATATATATATATATATATATATATATATATTGTAGTCAGATCATTTTTATCTCTCTATCTATCTATCTATTGTAGTATGTTCATTTTCTATCTGTTATTGTTTCTATCTATCTATCTATCTATCTATCGTAGTCTGACAATTTTCTATCTATCTATCTATCTATCTATTGTAGTCAGATCATTTTCTATCTATCTATCTATCTATCTATCTATCTATCTATCTATTGTAGTATGTTCATTTTCTATCTGTTATAGTTTGATCATTTTCTATCTATCTATCTATCTATCTATCTATCTATCTATCTATCTATCTATCTATCTATCTGTTATAGTATGTTCATTTTCTATCTGTTATTGTTTGATCATTTTCTTTCTATCTATCTATCTATCTATCTATCTATCTTAGTCTGGCCATTTTCTATCTATCTATCTATCTATCAATCTATTGTAATCAGATCATTTTCTATCAATCTATCTATCTATCAATTGTAGTATGTTCATTTTCTATCTGTTATAGTTTCATCATTTTCTTTCTATCTATCTATCTATCTATCTATCTATCTATCTATCTGTTATAGTATGTTCATTTTCTATCTGTTATTGTTTGATCATTTTCTTTCTATCTATCTATCTATCTATCTATCTTAGTCTGGCCATTTTCTATCTATCTATCTATCTATCTATCTATCTATCTATCTATCAATCTATTGTAATCAGATCATTTTCTATCAATCTATCTATCTATCTATTGTAGTATGTTCATTTTCTATCTGTTATAGTTTCATCATTTTCTTTCTATCTATCTATCTATCTATCTATCTATCTATCTATCTATCTATCTATCTACAATTGTGGTTTTGGACAACAATACTACTTTAATCCACGTTTCATCGATCAAGAGTGATTTGGTTTGGTTTGGTTTGGTTTGATTTAGTTTGACATCATATCAACCTCAATATGTTATTTAAAGCGGACAACAATTTTATTGCTGGTAATATTTTTTCGAAATATGTATTGCCGTTAAAACTTTTCCTTCAAAAATACATTGATCGTAATATCTTTTTCCTTCAAAAATGTACTGCTGGCATTATTTACTTCAAAAATGTATCGCTGGTAATATATTTTCCTCAATTTTTTTTTACACATTTTCGAGCCCAGTTTAGGGGTTAACTATTTGCCCATAGTTGGAGCCCTAACAAGTGCTACCACCCATGGTCATGGTGGACCTGGGAACGCCAGCAATTAAGAGGTGGTTCCACGCTCCTGAAAACCTCCTGATCAGAGGACATGCTGTTGGCCGTAGTTTATCGTCTTATCCAGGACGCGGATGTGGTTTATCGTTTTACTCATGACACATCAACACTGATGACGTACATTTTGCTAAATTATTAGTTGTGCACTCGGGCAGTAATCTGAGCTCCATACGAACAGATTTAAATAATCATAAAATCGCATCAATTTCAATAGACAACATACTCGTCGAGAGCACCTACGTGATAGGGACCTCTCACAGCAAAAAAAAAAAATCGTTTACAAGTGACGGAAGCACTCAGCAGGATAGACAAGAAATAAATTTTTTAATAGCATTAATAATAAATTTTGTCCAAAAGTACTGTCCGTATAAGGAAATTAAGAATGTATCTATTTTCAGAGGATAGAACATGCACAACATTTATTTTAGTTGCTTAACAAAAGATAATGCTTGATGATAGCTGTTTAGTCGAAAGTACTCGGAAACCAAAAAAGCTTTGGACAATGTTTATATTAAGTCCAGAAAAAGAGACACATGTGGGTATACAAGAAAAAATATATCAACGCACCTTCATTTTCTTTAACTAAACACTCACAATCATATGCTTGTTTTCTCTCGCTCTTCCTAAATGGCTCTGAATACTACCCAATCATATGAGGAATGACTACAGAGGAAAAACAGGAATCAGAAATATAAGATACGGGCATATCGACTCGTTATGGGTCATTTAATATCGAAATTACATTTTTTGGAAGCATCAGTAATTTCTTATACAAAAATATATTGCTGGTATTGTTTTTGTCTAAAATTATATTCCTCATATTTTTTACTATAAAAATGTATTTTTATACATTGAATTTGTTCATCGACTTTTGCTGTATGCAAATCAACTTCTTCAAGCCTGACGGTTGCAGAGGCAAAATAACGAAGGAAAAACGTCGTAATGGTGTGACCACATTTTGTTGGTTAATTATTTGCCCATAGTTTGGAGACTAACAGGTGTGTCACGCTGGGCGTAGAGCAGCAGTAATTAACAGTGGTTACACGCGCTTCATAATATCTTTACCAGAGGCCTTGCTGTCGGATGAAGTTAATCATCATACCCAGAATGCACCAGTTATAGAATTGAAGCAACATAAATGTGGCTCTACAGAAAGAAGATGCTGAGGATAACATGATCCTACTATACTGCGCAAAAGAATAAGTCAAAAACAAACAAAGCGCATGCGCAGAATTAAAAATATGAAATTGTGACAATTTATCAAACGAAACGTTTATAGGTATAAATGCGTGATTTTCAGGTACATTTAGTTTATTATTCCCATAAAACATTTATCGATTTCTTTTAGACAACGTTATATCTTACTGTCTTAATATTGTTCTGCCTTAGACTAGTCATATATATATATATATATATATATATATATATATATATATATATATATATATATATATATATATATATTTCAGTAAGTATTAAAATATTTTATTATACGTTTCGATGCAAACATCTTCAGGCAACTTTCAGAAATATTTGACGGAAAATATATATATATATATATATATATATATATATATATATAGAATGTCTGATATGCAAGAGGCAATGACTTCACACGCCTTGTGGCTAAATTGTGTTTCCACCAGAAATGTCTCATCATAAATTTACATTTTTGCTTCTTTTTTAACTGGCCGTGAGGGGACAGACTTTGTGACGGAAGGAAGGCAAAGTCGGCGTCTCAAACATAATTCGCCCTCTCGCTATCAATTTACGCACATTGAAAGTACTTGTTGAGGAGTGTATGCCTACCCAAGGGTATTTGTACTAAACGGCTTTGCCAATCTGTCTGAGGGACAAAACAACATTGCGAATAATGAAGCAAATGTCATATGCCTGCGCTCACACACACACACACACACACACACACACACACATATATATATATATATATATATATATATATATATATATATATATATATATTGTGGGGTTCGATGCTGGATGTGAAAAGAATAATAATAGATATATACTAACAGATGGACATAGGTAAATTCATGAATATACACATATATACCAGTTTTATAACAAGCTTTGGCAATTTCAAAATGAAAATAGATTCCTATTTCATGCCAACATTTTTTTTTAAGCGTTTCACCCTAAGCAAGGCGGGAAGCCACTAAGACGTAAAGGGTTACAGAAGATTTGGAGCAAGATCAGATAGGAGTGATAGAGGAAAGGATGAGGAGAAGGATAATGATAGATCAAGGCAACTGAAGATGTCGATTGACATTACATTTGAATAGTTGGAGATTATAGCTCTCAGGGAAACTGGAATAGGGAAGCGAGTTCTACAGGCGAGAGGTGCGAGATATGAAGCTACTGGAGTAGAAGAGACGAAAAAAAAAAAAAATTAAAATTATACCAACCAAGCTGCTAGAAATTTTCTTTGGGCGATACCATTCGTAACACGTATGTGTCTTCGATTGCGGATCATTTTATAAAGAATCCAACTTGTGCGATGGATTTCAGTGTGAACTGGTTTTCTGTCTTGGCCAGTTCGCACTCACTTTTCCATCTTACGGTGTTGGAGTCGCTTTACATCAGGTCCAGGCAACCTGCTCTTTGCGAACAAAGAGATTGTTTGCTTGGACTTGCTGTTCTGCGCTTCTAGCAGCTTGGTTGGTATAATTTTAATTTTTTTTTTTTGTTTTCCTTCACTGTCCATTCATTCATGTCACCCATGACAGACTTTTTTTTTTTTCCTCATAATCTAAATTCCCCGTTAACAGTTCTGACGAGAGGGACGAAACCGGTCGACTGGTGTGTGTTTTATTTTAAACTTATCATGGCCTACAATTTATTTATAGTTTTTAATGCCTTAATATATATATATATATATATATATATATATATATATATATATATATATATATATATATATATATATATGAATCTATGTTTGTGTTTGAGTATTCAACCCTGTTATACAAGACGAATGTTGTGTTTACATATACTTCATCTTTGTCAATAGAAAAATAAATTTAAAAAAAAATCATATATGAGATACACCACAACCAAAGTATCGCAGAGACTCACGTGTCCCTTGGAGGATAAGAGTATTATCAAACAACACATTATATATATATATATATATATATATATATATATATATATATATATATATATATATAAATGTATGTATGTATGTGTTTGTGTGTGTGCATTAGATATATATTTGAACATCTTATACACACAATATATATATATATATATATATATATATATATATATATATATATATATATATATATATATATTATATATATAACTAGCGCATTGTGAAGTTTGCATACACCTGTGGACATCGACAAAAGTGTAGATGTATATTCATATATATTTGTATATGTGGATATGTGAGTTATATTTGCCTGAGTATATTTTTCTTCATGCGTATAAATTCTATATATAAATTCTATTCCATTTTGCATCACACACACAGATATATATATATATATATATATATATATATATATATATATATATATATATGTCTGTCTGTCTGTATGCATATGTTTAATCCACTTTATTATTTAATGTATTTTAAAAATGTATATCTTGTTTCCCCATAAATAAATGGTCTGATCCACTATCTTAACAGCCTGTTATAAATATTCTTTTTTTTTCGTCCGCGCCTAACGATTGCCTCCTGCATCAAACTCGATGTTCTATTAAACGCTGACGAACAATATATATATATATATATATATATATATATATATATATATATGTGTGTGTGTGTGTGTATGTATGTATACGTGTGTGTGTGTGTGTGTGTGTGTGTGTGTGTGTGTGTGTGTGTGTGTGTGTAGTCTCCCGCACGTAAAACCTATCATCGTCTTCTTGGACGTTATGCCTAAGTTGAAAATAATATCATATTTCTCTTCATAGAAATGTAATTTGCCGCCATGTAACGATCAATTTTGGATAGCAACCATGCGTAACGTGCCTTCTACAAGAAAGTCATATGGGTGTCAGTGTATACGAGTTTTTTTTTTTTTTTTTTGACGTCATCTTATAAGGGAATATCCCCCAAGCTGCCAGGATATTAACCAAAAAAAAAAAGAAGAAAATAAAGAATGTTTTCACTTGTCGGTTAATAATAATAATAATAATAATAATGATAATAATAATAACACAGTTCCAGAAAAGCGCGATTACCAGAAAATTGGAAATGTATAACGATATTTCGACAGCGCGTTGGCCTTCTTCAGGATTTAGATAAGACTAGGATACTTGCACTGACAATAGTATTATATTTGTATACATTCATTTTATTAAATTTTGTTAAGGAAGGTAACCAATATATTGTCATATCTAAATACTTTTTTTAAATGTCAAATATTTTAATGTCAAAATATTGCAATGTCTAAATATTTTAAACTAATTACCTCGCTTGAAGTTTGCTTGTGTGTCTACATGATACAATTTAAAACTTGTACAATAGCGTTTTTCACTTCTCACGTTAAAATTCAATTTTCAGATGAACGCAACAATTTTGATTTAGAAAGATGATGAACGCAACAAGTTTTCGTCTTAGAAATAACAAGATCCTGATGATGATATTGTGCTCATGTCGAAAGTACTATGAATAAAATTTATATGCATCAACATGGTAA